GGAGCTCCGTGTCCTCCTCGGCAGCCACCGCGGCCGCCGTCGCAGCCATCTTGCTTCTCCAAGACAACCGCCCAAGCCGCGCGAACAGCCAACGGCGCACCGGCTCGAGCGCGCGCGGGGAGCGGGACGTGCGTCGGGCGGGGCCGCGGGCGTCAGGGTGGGGCGGGGCGTGGGCGAGGCTTCGCGCCCAGCGGAGCCGCGCGGCCTGGCGGTGTCCGGACGGTCGCAGAGCCCAACCGAGTCCTCAGGCTCGGACCCCCGGGGCTCCCGAGGGCGGCGGCGGAAGTCTCGGGCCTCCTGCGCACACGGAAGGCTCTGGCACTTGCTGCGAGCCGGCCGGCTGGGGGCGGGGAGAGGCAGGGATGTCAGTTTCTGTATGTCGTGTGTGTCTGGGCGTATGTCTGTGTGATTGCACGTCTCTGTGCTTGTGTCCGTGACTAAGTATCTGGGTATGTCTGCGTGCCGCCGCGCGTATGTCTGTGTGTGTGTGTGTGTGTGTATGTCTCTGGGTATGTGTCTGCGTGTGTGTGTATCTGTGTATGTTTTCTTGTGTGTACCGCTGTATGTGTGCATCCACACTCAGAGAAAGCAGGCCTATACCATGTAGAGGCTGGGAATGCAGGTGCAGTGCGCTGTCAGAGCGGGTGTCATATTGTTTGCTCTTGTGTGAGTCCTTTTGCAGCTGCGAGAGGGAATCGCAGACTCCAGCGTGCATGGCAAGCAGTAGAGCTCTTGTAAGAAGAGAGTTTTGTCCCTGAGGATTCCCATACTCAGTATCTGCACTAGGGCTTAGGAATCCTCGTTTTCCAATGCAAGGGATCTGCAGGTTATAACTTGAGATACAAATTGTGTCGTAAAAATATCTCCTGTGTTGTCTGCTGTCCAGTGGGAGTGTGGGAGAAACTGAGTTTGAGCCTGGTATCTACCTCCAGAGGAAGAATTCATTAAGGGATTAGTTTTTGAGATGGCCATAAAAATAAGTTAAATCAGATTGATAGGAGACAACAAAGGACACTTCCAAACATAAAATGTGACATAAGTAAAAGGGATTTAAAAGTATTGCCCATGTTAGCAACCATAGAATCCAATATGATTGGAATCAATAGATCTGAGAAACCTGGGAGACCCATGGAACACCTGAACCTTAAACAAAGGAAAGACAAGGGGACATAAAGGGGGTAAGGTAGACCCAGAAACTGGAAAATTTGGCCCATTGGCAAATAAGACTAAGGTTAATGTCAGTAGTAGAAGGAGGATTCATGGGCTGGCCTGAGACAGATAATGATACATTAATCTGGGAAATGAAGGATTTGAAGCTGCTGAAGAATATCTAGATGTGGGTGTCCAAAAGACACAAAATGAAATCCATTTAATCACCACTTTATACTGAATACCTACTGTATTTAGGCCCCAAATTAGGTGAAGAGACAGAGGCACAATCTATGCACTGGAGTCGGAGAGCTGACAATCCACGGCTCCAAACAGGAAAAACTTCCACAACTGACTGAAGACGCAGAATGAGGTTCTGGGGAGGCGAAGGGCAGCAACAGTCAGGCAGCTGAGGAGGGGCTGGGGCTGGCGTTATGGCTTAAATGTGTGCACACCCAAAATCTCTTGTGTTCAAGCCATAGCCCCCAGAGTATTTGAAGATGGGGCCCACACAGGGGTCATAAAGGTTGATTGAGGTCATAATCCAGTAGGGCTGTTGTCCTTATAAGAAGAGGAAGAAGAACCAGAATTCACTCTTACTCTACCACATGAGGACACAGGGAGAGGCTGCCATCTGTAAACCATGGAAAGAGCCCTCCCCATGATCCAAAAATGCAGCACATAATCTTGATTTTTCTACCAGCAGAAGTGTGAGACATGAAGCTTCCATCTCTTAAGCCATCTACTATGTGGCACTGTGTTACAGCACCCTGAACTGGCTAAACCAGATAGCTTCTTGAAAGAAGTAGCGTTAAACCCTGTTGTCAAGGTGTTTTCCTGGTGAAAGAGGAAGAAAGGGGCATTCAGAGTACAGGGACACAGGGCAGTTTGGTCAGTGCAGGGAGTGGCAGGAAAAATGATCTGAAGTGAACAGATTATGAAGGACTTCCACCAACATAATGGATTTGAATGTCATCCTGAGGTGTGAAATGGCATGCTAAATATAGTTGCAAGGCAGTGTGGCATGAACACATTTGGACTTAGAAAAAGCTTGCCGGGGCAAGGGATACATGGGCAAACTGAATGTATTGACATTGAAGCAAAGACTTATTCCACCAATCCAGGAAGGACTAAGGATGGTCTCAAATAAACTACAGAAATGACCATGGAAAGAAGAGGGTGTATTTAAGAAATGGGAATAATGCAGTAATGAGGGCCCTTCAAAGGAGATATGTACATACACACATGTACACACACATATATATCTATAGATATCTATAGATATCTATCCATTCACATACAAGAGGGGGATGGAGAGCAGGAGAGAGAGATAGATTAATTATAAGAAGTGAGACCATCAAGGCTGACAATCCAAGATCAACAGAATAAGCTGGCGAGCTGGAGAGCAGGACAGCCAATGTAGTAGTTCTTATAAAAAGGCCGGGGAGAGTCAATATTTCAGGCTGAGTTTGAAGACAAAAAGCTGATGTCTTCTGAAGGCCAAAAGTAGAAAGAGTTCTCTCTTTCTGGAAAGAGTTTATATTACTGAGACCTTCAACTGATTGGATGAGGCCCATCCACATGAAAGCAAGCTGCTTTACTCAAGTCTGCCAATTCTAACTCAGACACACCTAAAATGGTATTTAATTAAACATCTGAAACCCAGTGGCCCAGTCAAGTTGATATATAAAACTAGCCATTACAAATATGTTCCAGTAATTTACAGCCTTTAAACAACTAGATTCTAATACGAATTAACTGAGGAGATGAGAACCAGGGCTTTCCATCTGCACTCTCTTGGAGGAGGATGTCATTGTTTCCATAATTGTAAAAATTAAAAACATATCTCAAGTCATGCAGATGGTACTTTGGTCCATTTTCAATAACAGTTTCTCACTTTGGGTCAGTCATCCTAGTCTTGAATGAGTGGGCCAGTAGAGAATAAGAATCTCCATAGCTTATGGGTTTCCTTAAATGTTTTATAGATTGTGCAAAATATATAGCATGTGGAGAAAAGAAATGAACTCCGCATTTCCTCTGTTATTGCTTAGGCCATTATCTCGACAAAGGTTTATGTAGTGATTAAAAGTAGTGATGCCCGGTTGTATGTAGTGATTAAAAGCATAGTCTTTCAAGCCACATTGCATGAGTTTGAATTCAGTCACTTGGTTATGTTGACCATGGCAAGTTACTTTTTTATTTTAAATATAAAAGAATGAAACATATTAATGAACACACAGACATTTGCAAAACAACACAAAAATGATAAAAATACGGAATTTCAGACAACGTGATAAATTAACAGTGATTGCTGTATTACATATTGTTATCTTCAAACTGGTTACTCAGATAAACAAATATAAGCATGTAAGATAGAGCAAATAATTAAACATTAACTGTTCCTTTCAATAAAGCAATAGAAATCAGTAGTACAACTATCTTAGCTATCCTGTGTATACATATATACCTTTTCTTTCTTTCCTTTCTTTTTTTT